AAAAGAGGCTAGGGTTTTATTGATTCTGCATAATGTAATTGAATAATGAAAACCTAGATACAAAGAGACTATATATAGTCTAAAATAAAGGAAACTTAAAAGACTATTCTACCCTTAATAAATAATAAAAACAAAATAATCATATATTTCTTAACAAGCATATGGATATCAGGAATCGCACCCTTAATAGGGTTGCTGCTATGGTGGTGGAATGATATTTGGTATGCAGTGCCGGTGATGCGCCGGTGCTTGGCCAGTGGCACAAAGCTCCCTCCAGGCTACATGGGAATTCCATTTCTTGGAGAATTGTTCTCATTTCTATGGTATTTCAAGATTGCTCGCCACCCCGATGACTACATCAATTCTAAACGTCGCAAGTAAGAATTTCTTATGTTAAACCACCTCATTCCAAAGCTCAATCTGTCATAATTCTTTCTTTTTTTATGTGTGTGTGTGTGTTTGTCTTGGACATATTCATATTTTGGCCGGATTCAATTCTATGAAAGGTCTTAAGCTTGTACAATTTCATGAATAGGCGTATATATATATGCTCTAACACCGTGTCAACCACCTCGTTTAAAAGCTTTAAGGCGTTAAAAATTATAGAGAACAAATTATCTCTTCAATTAATATTTGAAGAATGATAGTGCAAAATAATTGATGGTTGTACTGTTCTTTTTTTGATGAATAGGTATGGTGATGGAGTAGGGCTATACAGAATACACCTCTTTGGTTCACCATCCATCATAGTGTACACTCCATCGGCTAACAAATTTGTACTCCAAGATGCTAATAATTTTTCCTCGGGATGGCATAATGAAATTGTGGGAGCAACTTCCCTTGTAGCAATGGATGGAGATTCACATATTAGGGTTAGAAGCTTTGTAGTCAAGGTCATCAATCGACCTGACTCTCTCCGAACGATCACTTTTGCTATCCAACCCGAGTAACCACTGCCCTCCAATCGTGGGTTAAGAAAGGTAGAGTTACCATGTTTAAGGAGGCAAGAAGGTATAATTCATCTGTTTAGTTCAAGAAATCGAATCATTTTTCTTTTTCACAAAAAAAAAAGGAAAGAAAATGTTCCGAAAACTAAAAGAGCCTAAGAGTCTGTTTTCTTTACTATTTTCAAGCCGTTTTCTATTTTCGATTTTCCAAAACAGTGAAAGCGCGTTCTCTTTCCTATTTTCGAAAATGCGTTTTTGAAAACAAGTTAAAAATTTATAAAGAAAACTCAAAACAACAAATTTGTCGGTTTTGTTTGTTTTCAATTATAATCAAGCCAAAATTTTCAAAACGTATTTTGGGTGTTTTCAAAACAATTTTTCAAAATACCAAAAAGAACACATTTTCAACTATTTCAAAACACAAAACCTAAAATGAATTTAAAATTCAAAACACAAAATTGAAATACAAAGAGAACAACCCCTAAATAACTTCAAGAAGTGTGTATGAAGACAAATGAACATGCGAACAAACACGAGCAGCCTTTTGACTTTCTATTGATTCGTAAGAATACTATAAAATTAAATTTCGAAAAATCTCTACATCACTAGGCCATTCTTTATTTATTGCAGGTTACATTTGAAAATATTGGCAAGTATTTTGCCAGCTTTGAGCCTGGCCCTATTTTGGATAACCTTGATGTATTATTTAAGGGTTTGATTTATGGATTTAGAGTTTCTCCCATCAATTTACCTGGAACTAAATTCCATCATGCACTCCAGGTACTCTCACAACTTTTCTCTTTCATTCATGACCAATTTGTTCAATTGTTTCTCACAATTTTCACTCTTTTTACTACAAGCTTAAGACTTCTACTTATACTCGTATTTGGGCTTTTCTATTTTTGTGTATACATAAATCCTACGTCAAATTCGTCTATCTATAAATGAATATATACTCTTTAGATCTAACACGTTCAACGTGTATTCAACGTGTATTCAATAATTATCTAGATTACTAACATATAAATGAATAAGTGTTTCTTTTCTTAAACAAAAATTATGGTTTTAGAGGAAATTGTTATAATGTATCAAAGTTTAAAACTTGCAAGCCAAATTAAATCAATTAGTTGGTTCTTTCTTTAGCAATTTAAGCCTTTAACTAAGCTCCAAAGATTTAACATGGTATCAGTGCAATTAAATATCACGAGTTCAAATATCTCGTCTACTCATTTATGCAAATTGTGCATGTGCTGGGATTTATATTTGGTGAGAAAATGAATCAAACATGCATTGAGTCATGACGAAATTAAATGCATAGACGTGTCACCTTTCAAATATTTAAACTTTTAAATAAAGTGATTTAACAAATTCTATGCCTTCACGATCTTGTAGATTCAAATGTATAACTTGTATATCAACTTTCACGAATCTATTTCGAGCTCAGT